TTCTTCTTGGTTTTCAAGGATTCGTAGTAGCAAAATAATTTGGGTATTCTGCTGTCCTACTAATACCTGATCTTGGACTGCTAAGGGTTGAAAATTGGTTAATCCGTAGGGATTTCCTAATTTTCCTGCTTCTTTTAAAGCTTCTCTGTAGTTTGAATTTTGAGTGAAAAAAGTTTCACCCATTCAACCCAAGAAATAATTTTTGAAGTTTTTGGACCTGTTTAAACAACTCTTCTTGATTTTGGATCAAGGCAGCTGTTTGATGACAGAGGTTTTGAACAAATTGATCTGGCCCTTTGTTACTCAGAGATTGAGAATTAATTAAATTGACTTTATTTTTGACAAATTCAATTTGTTGTTGCAAGTAGTCTTGATTCTCAATTAGTTTCACAATATTTTTGTTGTAATGCTTTTCAAAGTTTTGGAACCTTTCGAGCACTACTTTTTCTTTTTCTTTTTCTTTTTGTTTTTTTATAATTTTTTGAAAAATTTATAATTAGGTCTACTATGCTATTTAACTGGCTATTATCAGAATGTAAATTATGACTAAAACTTGAAAAACTACACACTATATTATGATTATCTAAAGTTGCTTTTGATTTTTTATAAGGATGTGAAATAGCTAGATCTAAATAATCTAAACTCATAAAGATAAAATAATAATATCAATAGATAATAATATCAACAGTTATTATTTTGACAAAAGATAACATAGATAGACAAACAGATAAGTAAAGGATAGCAATACAAAAGGAAGCCAAATATTAACAAAGGACAAAATAGTCAGCAAATGTTGACCAAATAGTAACCAATTTTGACCAAGCAATTTCTTACAAAGAAGATTAATTACATAGATGGGAAAAGGTGGCAATTTACAAAATCTTGACTTTTAACAAACTATGACTTTTAACACTAATAAGTAAAAGTAGTCTGACACTAGAAGAAAATAAACAAGAAAATTTCTTCTGCAATCAAAACAGATATGAAAGAAAACTATAAAACTGACACAATTTAATATAAAGTTGATTTTTAACACCAAACAGATAGACTTACGTGAAAGTAGATAAACTAAAAAGTTAACAGATAAATTATAAAACAAACTAGACAATGTAGACAACTATATCTTTGGCAAAGAGTTTCGTCTGTAGATTAGAATTTGTCCACTTTCTATACCACATATCCATATGTAAATGAAAAAGCTCTGATACCATTCTATTTTCGATCCCTTTCTTTACCCATTAATTCATTATCTTTCCAAGTTTTTCAAAATCCAGTGACCCCCTCTTTCATAGTCTAACCCTAAAACAAAAAATATATATATATATATATTTTTTCAACCCCTTTTTATCCATTCAGGATTTAAAGTAATCACCAGCCACTGGGACATCAGTTACGGAACGGTAGAAGAATTTACTTAAACTCTACCAAACAAGCCATAGTTTAATTTGGGGAAAAATTGTGTGCTGAGAATCGTCTTCTTCTCTCTTTCCTTCGTATTTCAGTATTTCTTCTGTTCATATTGTTAGAAAATTTTCAATTTGTGTGTTCCACTGTGTTGGATTTTTGGTGGTACGAAAAAGTGTTCGGATTTTTCTCAAAGAAAATGGACAAGAGTATAACACACCAACTTAAACTTTCTCACTATAGAGAGGAATATAAATTTTAAAATAATTCAAAATTTAAAAAATTTTATATTTTTTTAAACAATTATTTTATATAAAAAGCAACAATAAAAAGTGCATTTGAGATAAGTAACAGTTACTTTTGCCGCATACTTGCGTTCTTTGATAGCTCTACAGCCCTTCATTCAGATGCATTTGCATTTTAATACAGTTTCATTTCATCAACATTTATAACTAGTTGTACATTATTGTTGTCATGAGTAATGATAAGGGGGTGATTTTGGGAGACGAAAACGGAGAACGACAAATGAAGTAAGGTCAAATTGGTAATTTTATATCTTGTAATTTGATCCTGCTTCACTTGTCGTCCTCCGATTTTATCCTCAAAATCGTCCCCCCTATCATTACTCTTGTTGTCATATTTGCTGTCAACTCATATTTGCTGTCAACTTGCAGCTTCATTTGTTGTAAAGCCTCGACCTCATTATTGTCATTTCATGATAGTTTTATTTCATCATTTTTGTCAATTTGAATGCCACATTTTTTACAATAATTCCAACAAAAAAATAGGAAGGGTTTAGAGAGGACTTGGGAAAGAGCAGGAGAAAAGTAGAACTCAGAACATAAAATATGACATAACCATGAAAGGATACAGAAATTCAGCCCAATAAGGAGGAGGAGAGGAGTTCTCCAAATCTCACTCCAATTTCCATTAACTCTTTTTCTGAGAAATTTCCATTAACTTTCAATCAAACATTGTAATACAGAAATTAACATAAAAGCACATTGAAATTGCTGCACTTTTGTTGACTAATTTACAGCCTCCATTTACATTTCATTTGCATTTCATTTGCATCTCAATTTCATTTCATTGTCTTCCATGATATAGCGGGTTGCTGCACGCAGCAAACATTACAGCTTTGATGCCATTGCTCCAACAGAGTGAGAAACATATTCGAGAGTAGTTAGAAGAGAGGAAGTACCGATAAATCATTAACAAAGGAATCTTTACAAATTCCATATGGCGTGGTCGTTCGCTATTGCAGGTATGTCTCCATTTAGTCTATTATTTTAGTAATTTGAATTTACACATGGTGTTCCTATAATTTCTACCCATCTTTGTAATTCCTCAATCGATATAGTGAAGTACATAGAGAGTTACTCTCATTTATTGATTCTACTTGTAATTTCAATTTCTGTTTATTTCTGTCCATATGGAAAGTTCTTTGTTTTTATGAGCAGCGCTAGGGAACGCGGTAGGGGCACTGACAACCGCAACGATAGACAAATTGGTGAGAAAAATAATTGGCCCAATTATCGATGAATTTAAATATGATGATAATACCGAGAAGAAGTACGAAATTCGGAACCTTATTTTGGTGATAGTGACGCTTATTGCGGGGGTGACTTTCCAGGCAGGGATCAATCCACCAGGCGGGTTATGGCAGGATAATCAGAAAGAACAAGTCGCTGGAACCGCCATTTTTGCATATCGGAAACAAGCAGCCTTCTATGTTTTCTTGGTCTTTAACACCTTGGCTTTTACAACGTCAGCTTTTACCATTTTCTGTTTCACCCAGGGTTTCCCATTCAGTCCTGAAATACGACTGGCTGTTGTTTCTGTCGTAGTGACTTATGCATGTGCAGTTTCTGCCATTATTCCACCTGAATCGGCAAATCTTGCTTACGTCTTGCTCGTGGCTCTTCTACCTATTGTGGTACTGTCTTGGATCCGCCGGCGCGTTCGTGGAGAGTAAGCAAACGAGGGAATGTTTTGAGAAACGATGCAACAGATGACATGGTGTAGAGATTCTATAAGGACAAATCTCGGTAGAGTTCTCTTCATTTTTCCTTTAATATATAAGTGGGAAATATATAAATTGCTTTTAAAACTATTACTTTTGAAATAAATCTTCATCTAAAAGAATTATTTGATATAATTTGCCATATCTTAAATTTTTATTTTTAAAAAATTAACTTAAATTGAATGATTTTCATTAAATTTCGTTAAATAATTACACTTAAAATCTAATGAAAAATTAATGATAAATGTTAAATTGGAATAAATTTCTTAAAAAATAAAATATTAGATGATAAATTACTACAATATTTTTTAGGGAAATTTACTTTTACACGACAATTTTAAGAAAAAATTTTCACCTTTTGCCTTTTCTCTAGCATCTTATTGCTTGACTTTTATATTAATTTGGTATTCAAATGTGATTTGTGCTTTGGAACTGTTGTTTAATGCTGGATTGTGAACTTTAGATTTGCATAGTAGCTCTAAGCACTTTAGTTTTTTTTTTTTTTGGGTTTTTTTAAGGAAGGTACCAGTAGAGTAGTTAAGCCGTCAAATGCATGTTAATGTTTTGAGTATCTATTATAATGAAATTTATCATTATTAGTATAAAGCCAGCACAAACTTTTGATTTGATGCACCGTTAGGTCGAAATTGCTATTAAATGGATTGTGGTCTCTCCCTCTTTTACTCACCAAAATTTCCCTATGTTTTCACCTTGTTTTCCAACAACTAGTAGGTGATTCTTAGGTCCCAAGTCACAGAGTGAGTGGAAGGGTAATAATCACCTCTTCACCCGCACCGCCAAAAATATACTCCCTTGTATGTATATTTTTCATAGGGAAGACAAAATTCATTGGAAATAGAGAATATATAACTTACCGTAATTTTTAGATAGGTATGTAAAGGACATAACTTGTAAAGGACATAAAAATTATACTTACATTGTGCTAAACGTTTCAATCAAGTGATTTGTTCTTTATTTTTTAAGTAAGAATATTTTTTAAATTTGATGTTTAAATTACTAGGATGATTTTTTCCTTTCTTTCATAAAATGTTAGAATTATTTATAATTTTTTTTTTTAAAAAAAAAAAGCTATACCTACATCAACTCTCATACCAGCATCAGGGCCAGGGATAAACCCTCAGTAAGTAGTTTTAAGGGTATCCAATTGCGAATTGGTACTTATTTGAATTTATCCCGAGAATTTTTTTCTTGATGCCATAATAGACTGGATAACTAGTGATGGAAATATGCTTAACGAGGATGAAATGTACTTGAAGCTCGTTTCAAAAACTAGTGTTGTCACTAATTAGCTGATTTTGTTTTGGATATCTTATTCTAATCTCATGCTGATTCATGCTTCAGGGAACTCTCCCTCCTGCTTAAAATCGTCTCGGGATGCTACTAACCGTTAATTGTAATAGGGTTTTTTAATGTATCCTTAACGTTATTTTTTATTATACTTTTATATTAAAAACTATAAAAATAAATATTAATTTTTGTATTATCATTATGTAGATGAATTTAATTATATGATTGATAAATTAAAAATAAATTTTTATTTTTTAATAACAATTAATGAAAAATATATTTATTACACTTTTAGATCATATATTAGAAAAATTCATAGTAATAAATAAATGGCTTCAAAGGAACATAAGCTTTGTAATACTTTTGCTTCAATAGAAGGCATGCTGTGAGAAGCTGTCTTTTTACTGTGTTAGAGTTAAAATTAACTGGAAAATGTTCCAATTGAAAACTCATGAATCTTATTTTTTTAGTACATTAGCTGATGAATTATATAATAAATAAGAGTTTTTTTTTCAAACTCCTTTTTATCTATTCTAAAATTTGAATTTAAGATCTTTAAAAAAAGATCAGTTCTTAACTATTAAACACTTAAACAGATCTGATTTGATTACATTTAATGTATATGTATAATATTTCCTTTTTGATAGTTTTTTTATTTATCGCAAGAATTGTTTTATTGATCAGGTATGCCGTTATAGACGGGATAACTATTAGTGGGAACCTATTTAACTAGGATGAAATATTTTTGAAGCCTGTTTAAAAGTAGAAACTAATTTATGTCAGTTGATTCTGTTTTGGATATTTGATTCTAGTCTCATTTTGATTCATGCTTCAGGCAACTCTTAGCAAGCCTCGTGATTAAAATCATCTCGGAATGCTGCTACCTGTAGTAGATGGCTTCAAAGGAACAAAAGGCTTTGCAATACTCTTGCTTTCCTAGAAGACGTGCTGAGAGAAGCTATTATTTTGTTGTAAATTGTAAAATATTAGAAGTCTTTTTAGCTCTAGTATGCACAGACTGCAATGCTTGTGTTTGAGTATTCTTAAGTAGGATCTGCTATGTTTCTGTATTCTCCTTGGCTGTGTGTAGAGTCATCTGTAATACTAATTGCTGTGGGTGAATATGAGTAGAATTGTTTCCCTAAATATAGAACCGAGGTGAACCATTTGCATATATTTCTTTTTCCGCATTCGCAATTATTGTTGGCCTACTTGCTTTCGTAGTTAGCTCGCATATTAATCTCCTTCTTCTTTTGGTTAAGGATGTGCATAAGCATCACTACTTAGATAGAATAGTAAGTGTTAGTAGAAAAGAAAATACAAAACAAGAAACAGTTAGAAGCATAATTGCATGGTTTCTACACACGCTATCTGCCAATTTTCTTGGTTAGCTTTTTTTTTTTTTTTTTTTTTTTTTTTTTTTTTGTTTTTTGAAAGGCAAAAAATAGTTATTTATCCTTTCAGAGTACAAGGGATAGTTTAAACCATTTACATAGGTTTACACAAATCATTCCCTATTGAAAATATGCTGTTTCATTCCCACCTGCAGGAGGATGGACCTCCTGTTCTTAGTCGTCATAGTAACTGCCCAATTACAGTTTGCTCGTCCTACTTCCCAGCAATGCTTTGGTGCAATCTCTTAGCTTTGTACACCAATCCGTGAGAGAGCAATTCAACCCACCTTCTCTTGCAGTGATCCAGTTGAACTAGCTCAAAGTTGCTGTCTACACTCATGACAACTCCCTTAAAGACTTGTTCATTTTACACAGCCATATGGTCCATATGATCACAAACCAGATGACTTCCTAGTACGTTTTCAGTTTCTTGCCTTTTCCGCTCCAGACATATTGTACAAAGGCTTCATTTAAATCACAATGTAGCACATAATCTACATTCCACCACAACAAGCATCTTGACCACAAAGATTGGGCGAGCGTACAAATTAAGCAACAAACGATTAGCCGTTTCTATATCTTTTCCACACAACCCACAGATAGCCTCGTCTGGAGTTTAAATAATGCCCTCATCAAATTATTTTTATTGGGAAGTCTATTAAGCAATGTTTGCCATGCAAAAGTGCATACCTTATGCTATACTAAAAGATGCCAACATTTCTTGAACTTGAGACTCTCCCTGTCAATTGATGCTTGAGTCAAAAGCCGATAGGCCGTCTTTACTGAATATGCACCATCCTTCCCCACTGTCCAACTCCAATGATGTTCCTTGTCATGGTCTGGTCTATATGATTGTAGCAAATCTTGTAGTTGAGTACATAATTCCTCCTCCTAGTTGAATGGTTGTCTCCTCCATTTAAGATTCCATTTCTAATTATTATTGTCCCACAATCTCATCTCTCCCTATGTTTTCTTCCATCTACAGAAATACTAAAGAGTCTTGGAAATAAATTAGCCAAGCTGCTACTACCACTGCAAGCATCTTCCCAAAAAGAAATCTTCCTCCCAGTTGCTACCCTTGGCCAAAAGCCATCCATTAACCACTCCCCCGGACCACCATCTAGTCCTTTGTTCCTCTGACCATATTTGCTGTCTACAACCCATCGCCATAACCCAGATTCTTCATTTGCTATTCTGCCCCACCAATTTTCTTTGTTAATTTGGTCTTCAAGCTGCATTTGATGGGTATCTGATGTGTGATTTTTTGCCTTTTTTTTGCCTTTTTTTATTGTTTCTACTTTGATCTGATATATCTCTCGTTTTCCACTTTCTCATAGCTTGCAAGTTTGGGGCATGTTATTCTTTTGCAATTCTCTAAGCCAGTTGGTTGTTGCATGGTGATGTTAATTTCAGAGTTATGTCCTTCGATGTCAGGCAACCTAAGTCACTTACTGAGGTTCATATGGTTAGTTTGTGCAAGGCTAAATGACCATTGAATCGGTTCTCGATCTCTTTTGCTCCCATCTCAATATCACTTGTTGCATAAACTGTAATTATCATCCCTGCTTTAAGCTTTAAGGAGCAAGAGGGGATAACTACCCGTCTTTGACTGTGTTTTGTTGTGTTTTCCCAGTGATTTTGCGTACCCTCACTAGGCTACGAATTACAATAGCAGCTTCAGGGAACCATATTGATGAGAATAGTCATAGACAAGGAATTCTCTTGAATCCAACCCCTGTTTAGGGTAACTTTCAATTACAAATGGAACAAGCATGGACTCTGTTTCTCTTGTTTTCTATGTTTGTTAAGATTGGAATTTTCAGAGTTAGGATCCTTTTCAATTCACTGAGGAGGTTATTATTTCTTACCTCATTAGTCATGATTCTTGAGTTAGACTAATCTCGGAGCATAGTGGATCTGACTATCCGACAAATTGCATGAGTTGCTCACACAGAGTTTATGCTATGATATGCTAACAATATTCGAGATTTCATGTCTGCAGCAAATGCAATTAGGACATGCTTTACTACCCTCTGTTCAGGTGGTATAGCCTACATAGAAATGTCTTTCAGGGTTAACAGTTCCAAGTAGTTTGGTTGTCCAGTCCTTGTTTCTCACCAATTAGGTAGGTTATGTACATGAACCTCTAGTTTCTGCATGTCTTCAAGCTCAATGGATGGTAAAATGCTATTTCTGGACCAGATTTCAAAACAAGTTCTCCCAACCTATTGCATCATGTACCAGATTGGTTGATTTGCACAAGGTAGAGCCTATTCATGGAATAAGTTTCCATTCATTGATTGCCAATACGGTTTAAATCCAAATTCCTAACAGAAAAGCAATATTTCTAACTTCACAGGAAAATGGGAAGGTTATCTCTAATATGGTATAATTCGTTATCAATTGTACCAAGAATCACAGTTTTTAATTTGCACTCCAAAAGAAAATTTCAGGTGTAAACACAAACCTTGGTAAAATTCATGCAAATAACGTTGAAAAGAGCTTGACCAAATTATGCATAAACAACAGTTCAACCTAAAAAGAGCTATATAACAAGAGAAAATTCATCCATTAATCATCTCAATATTCCAATTGAGTCGCTTGATCTGTGGGAGCTTTTATTCTACATAAAAAGATATGCACGTTTTTGAAGAGGATATCATGGTAAGTGGTGCCCTTGCAAGTTCTTATGCTCAATTGCCGCGGCAGCAAGTGGGAAAGGGATGCCAGGGCCAGCATCCGCATTTTGGATCCTTCTCACCTACAATATAAGAGAACTTTTTAATACAAGGGTCTATCTATCTTCTATTTATAAAGATAATATTGTTTTGCAATTTAAGTTGTATCAAAGAAGTAAAATATAGATGATTAAAAGAGAGAAGCTCTCAACATCATAGGCTCACTCCTCACCCAATATCTCTGTTGTATAGCCCATACTGCATGACAACTTTTTGATTTATTAATTTCAACAGTTTAACAACAAAAAGGTATTATACTATAAAAGCAGCAGTTTTAGAGATTCCATTTTTAATCTTGAAAAGAATTCTTTTTTTTTTTTTTTCAGAACATTGTATATTGCTAAATTTTAATTTTTGCAATAGAAAAAACTTATCTAAACAAGTACTACTTCTTACCAAAAAGTAGTAAGTGCTCGTGCAGACATATCTAGTATCTGAAACAGGAAAAGAAAAAAATATAGTTAAAATCGATGTAAATAATAAGATTTCAAAGAGCTACAATTATAAGTAAGAAACTATAAAATGTTTAAACCAATTTAGTAAATGAAACAAGAATATATTCTAAAAAGAGAGTGCAATACTTTGTTATAGGAGTAATATGATATTAATTGGCTTCGTAGCAAACTTCTTCAAAAAAAAAAAAAAATCAATTATGTAATTTGGTAATAATATCAAATTGTTTAATAATCAGTTTTAACGTAAAAAAAAAAAAGAAAAAAAAAGAGCACATTCAAAAGAAAACTTACCTTCCTAGAAACAGGGCCGTGAGTGCTTCCTATTTCTAAATTGATTGAGATACCCTAATCATACATAGAGCTAAATTAGATAGAGCGTTTTTTTTTTTTTTTTTTACCTTTCGATATTTAGTAATCATATTAGTTCATTACTAATCTGAAATTGAATTGCATCAGACTCCATAAGGAAGGGAAGCTCTCCCCACGACAGTTTCTTCATTCACAAGACTTAAACTCGAGACCCTATTTAAGTAAAACTAATATCTTTTCAGTCAGATCAGCAGGTCATTGATTAGATAAAGTTAATTTTTATTCATTAGGTACTTTAAAAAAAAAAAAGAAGTTTACATATATTTACGCCTCGTAACCTGATGACTCTACATCTGATCATAAGGTGTCCTCCAACACTAGTACCGGGATTCAAATTCCTTTCCCCTAAAAGTTGTAACATGTTCAAAAAAAAAAAAGAAAAGAAAAAGAGCTACATATACTTACTTGGGCTGAAGCTATCAACCCAATCAAACAAATAAGCAAAAGCAATCGGAGGGTGGATTTCTCCATTGCGATCAAAACATACAAAACAAAACACGCTTGTGCATGCAAAGATCAGAGGCCTTGCACTTTTATAGGCAATTTTCTAATAAAAAAATTGCATCTTATAGTTTCTTCGTGTTTGTCTATAGGAGGAAGATCGAGAATTCCACCACTAAGATGCATATATTTGGCCAGTAAGCTTGTTTTCATACGGAAATTCCAATCATTATATTTTTTTTATTGCAAATGGTGATTGTGAATATGGTCATCGTGTCGTGGTTCTTGTTTTTATCACTTGAAATTGATAAATGAAACTAAAATCTTAAAATCAATATCACATTATCAGTTATGTTATTTAAAATATTAAAATATTAATATTATAGTATTTAATAATTAATTTTTTATTTTATTAATATTTATAATATTATATGTATTAATTTATCTAATGATATAATTTTTTTATCTCAAATTTTTATTTTTTGTATTATTACTCCTTAAAATGGTAGAATTTTAGTATTTTTAGTGCTTTTAAAATAATTATTTTTTATACTAATTTTAAGACTTAAATTTTATACGTATAAAATGAATCAATCACTAGGATTATTGCTTTGAGGATTTAATTTGAAAGTATTTTCCATATTCGTCTTTTAACTTAGAATTCGTCACATATTAATTCTTCAATTTTGATAAAGTATATTTTTAATGGTTTATTCTTCATTTTCTAAAAATATAAATTGATATTAAAATTTTAATTTAAAAAGAAGTAAAAAATGACTACTATTATTATAAGACAGAGAAAGCAGTTATACTATTTGAAAAAAACCTACTTTCACACAAGAAAAATGCCTTTGTTCGAGAAGAAGAGGAAAATAAATATTACAAATGTGTGACAGAATTTAGTGTTTTGGTGTTTGTGTTGTGCGAATTACAAATACCTCAAATATAGTTTTTTATTAATCCAACAAAAACTCCATTAATTATAGAACTCATCTTTTTGTAATCCTTTCAAGTCTGATTGCAAATCACTTTTTTGAATGTATTAGTACATAAATAAATGTTAATAAAAAATACTACATATACGGAGGAAGAAACTATTTATATATATTTTACACTATTTATATATATTTTACATATTATGTTTATATAAATTTTAATTATTTTTTTAAATTTTAATAATTAAGATTTATT